AGAGAGTCATGACCAGAGACTTGGAGTTTATGACATGTATTTAAGCTACGGATACCGATGCTGTAGCAGCCAGGTTATCTCCCCAAATTTACCTGTATTCTGTTGGTTTTTGTAGTCTGCCTTCATTCATGGCAGCAGCAGCTGCTGTTGCAGGGACTTCCCGCCAGTGTCCTGCTGCTGCCATCTCATCCAACTCACTCAGAGCTCTTTTGTGTTCCAAGCCTAATAGCCTTCACACACACTCTCTCAAAAGTGCAGAGAGCTAAGGGTTCCACTTGAGACACTGCCTTTAAAAGACAGCATTCAGAATACTGAAGAATGGCAAGTGAATGAAGATGAACAGAGTTATCAAGAGATCAAGAGAAGAGTGCATTTCAGGAAGGAGTTAGGATCAAGAGTGTAATACATCCAAGAGCCAAAATATGAGCACTGATGTTAGCAAGGTCCCCAGGGGTCCCACTTCCAGCAGTGTGGGGATCTGACAGTCTGAAAGACTGGCCTGATGTGGTACAATGGTGTCCCAGCAAGAGAGGCAGGCTCTGTTATGCGAGCATTCCAGTCACACAGAGAAAATAGAGGAAGGAGGTACAATTTTGCTAGATCCCTGTCACGCGTTCACCACACCTCACTTTTTCTTGTCTATATCCCACATGCAGCTTCCTTTGTCAGGTGGAAATGTTTCCTTACCCTCCTTTGGCACTGGGTGCCTGGTTGGTGCTTAGAAGAGATCCTAGAAACCCAGTTGTTGATTTAGAGGAGAAGAGGACTCTTCTCCCAGGAGAAGGGCCTGACCAGAAAATGGTGGAGGTGTGTTTCATTGTGACAGACCTGTAGTGATGGGAAGGTTGACTTTGAATCAGTCTTATGTTCTGATTTAAGTCTAGGCCAAATCCACTGCCAGTGAGTTGATTCTGATTCACAGTGGCCCTCTATTGGGGTTCCAGGCTGTAAATCTTTATGGGAGAAGACAACCCCAGTTTCTTCTGTGGAGGAGCAGTGGGTAGGTTTGAACCAATGGACTTACAGTCAGCAGTCCAGCACTTACCTGCAGTACCACCAGAACTCCTAAGAATTCAGTGAACCCAACGGCAGTCTTTCTGGCATGCTAGGACAGTAGCACACCCACAATAATACCCACGGTCATAAAACTGAACACTTAGCACGGAGGTTTCAGCAGGTGGAGATAGCATACTATGAATTAGTATTGCTCTTCTGTTTGATTCTATGGCTTTTTACCACATATAATGATGCTTAAGCAGGTTTCCTCATAAGAGAATTGCTAGTACTTGTAAGCATGTTTGCTATTTCAGTCAACCTTGAATGAATAGGGTTTGTTTGTTTGTTTAATAAGTCATTTTATCGGGGGCTCTTACAGCTCTTATAACAACCCACACATCAGTTGTATCGAGCACATGTGTACCTATGTTGCCATAATTTTCTTTCTACTTGAGTCCTTGGTATCAATCAGCTCCTCTTTTTTCCCTCCCCCCTCCCGCCCTTGTGAACCCTTGATAAGTAAATAAATTATTATTATTTTAATATTTTACACCATCCACTGTCTTCCTTCACCCACATTTCTGTTGTTCCTCCCTCTTGGGGGGTGGGTTATACTTCAGTCATTGCAATCGATTCCTGAGGAATAGGTTTTAATGATCTGTTCTATGACACATGGGCATCTTTGTTTTGGTGGGTAGTTTAGTAAGTGCAAACTCAAAGCTCAAACTCACTGCCACCAAGTTGATTCTGACTCTAGTGACCCTGTAGGACAGGGTACAATTACCCGGTGGGTTTCCAAGACTGACTTTTTATAGGAGGAGACAGCCTCCTTTGTCTCCCTTAGAGCAGCTTGAGGTTCAGAACTGCCAACCTTGTGGTTAGCAGCAGTCAGTGTGCTACCAAGGCTCTTAATAAGTGCAAAGCACCTGCAAAGCAATGCCAGTATTTCTTTGAACCTTCTTAAAAGAGGCCTAGGTTTCATTTCAACCTATTGAGTTAATTTGGAAAGGACTTTGGAATTGCTCCCAAAGAGAGAATGTAAAATTCTTGTTCGCCGCTTACCTCTGACAAGTCAATCCTGCTTTGTGAAGTGAGCATTTCATGTTTGAAGTTAAGTTTCCTTACTGTTTTGTCCCAAGCATACTTTGACTTTAATTCTCACCGCTACTTTTTATATTCTTATCCGTCTTTTTAGATTAGACATAATAAATACATATTTGCTTTGAAACTCAGTTTTGGCGATAGAGGCATTTTCTTTTTACACTAAGCACACGGTTTTCCCACTCTGGGCATGGGCTCCTGGTGTTAGCGGTCACTTGGAAGTACACCCCTGCGCGCACTGGTCGAACTCGTGGTGTGACTGAGATCGGAAGAGGGTCCCGGTCCTGGAGACTCATTCACGCCGAGCAGGAGTGTATTCTCTCAGGTAGGCTTGCACACTGGGTTGCTATCGCAATGCACACCAGGCTGGTTGGATGTCAACATCTGGGGCAGAAAAGAAGGTGGAGGGGAGAGAGTGAATTGGAGGGAAGGAAGAAAGGAAGAAAGGAAGGAAGGAAAGTCATCATGGCTAGGAAAACAAAGCCAAGTCTTTAGCCTGCGTGAACCTGGTTGTGCCCCTCTCTGCTGTTTATACTCCATCTGCAGTTTGAAATGAAGAGGGACTCCTGTTTTTGTTCTGATCAGACTTTTAAACGAATTTTGACATTTCTTTTACACTGCCAGAAAATGTGTGCCCCAAAATAAGATTTAAAAAAATTATTGAAAAGGTTTAGGAAGCATACAAGAAGGTTCTAAAGAGAAAATCCGTAGTCCCGAGGGCCCACAATTGGGCATCCCCAAGTTCTAGCAGTTCTCTCCATTCTCAGGGAACCTGCCTACGCATCCTCATCCGTGGTTATAAAAGCCACAGAATCCGTTCTGGCCATTGTGGCTTTTTGTTTGTTTGTTGTTTAGTGCCACGGGTTGCTTTCCTCCTCTGTTGGCTGTAATGTCAGGTACCTTGAAAAAGGCAGGTGTGCAGCAAAGCATCTCCTAAGGGAAATGCAATGTGGTGAGAATGAGTCTTTACCATGATGGGCTTGCTGCGTTCGCTTCTCGGAGGAGGAGGACTCTGGGAACGAGTTTATTTGGATAGCTATGAGGTTGTGAGAAATGTTGAAAGAATCAGAGTTTTGTAAACCCATGCTTAGAATTACTGCATTTGTTCATGTAAAATGTTCTGTCTTTGAGAGAAATTTCGCTTGAAATATTCAATTGCACGTGTATCCAACCCTCGGGGGAGGGTAGATATATAATAGTTATTAATATCTGGCTTTGGCTATCACAGAAAGACGGACTAGCTTTTATTTGCATTTTGCATGCCATCATCTGGAGTTCTTTCCATTTTATGAGGAGCATGGCTGTAGCCTCAGCCCGGGCTGCAGGCTGCCCTGTGTTGCCTCTGGAGCAACACTCAGCAGGTTGTTACATTCCCACGTGAGGCTGACCGTCACAAAAGGGCGTGCGAAGTTCTGAGACGTCAAGGAAATCACAGAAGGGGCAGTAGCAGGATCTGGGAAGCTCAAAAGTCAGATTTAATTAGGCAGCTGTGCACGACCATTATCCTTTTAACAAAAGACTGTGTAGAGGGGCAAGTGTGAAAACAATTGGTGCTTATCTGCTGGGCTGCAGAGTCCAGCCGGAGCTCAGCCGGCCCTGCGCTCTGCGGGCTGCGTGCATTTTTGCAACACCCCTAAATGTTCCAGCTTATAAATAGCAGCGAGTCCTCTAACATGATGCTGCGACTGCACGAGAAATGAAAGCGGCTGCCTTGGAGGCAGGAAGCTGACTCGCGAGATGCTTAATTATTGTGGAAGTAAGTGCTTGTTACTGGTGAGGGGTGAGAGCAGCGAGTGCGGGGTGTTCTCCGGGTGTCAGAGCCGGGATTTGTAGACAATGCTGCCCTGTCGGCGCAGTGCTGGTTCAGCAGCATCTTTCCAAACATGGATTTGGCACGCATTTAAAGGCCGCATCTTGTGTAATTGGCGCAGCCTTAGAAAGGGAGCCTCTGCTTTTATCCCCAGCATGTCCGCAACCATGCAGGAGTTTCCAGTCAGCGTCGGTGCCTCTCTGCCCCTGACTGCCGTGCTCAGGAGGAAGTTCTTCTTCCTGGCTCATCACCTGGCAAGATGTTAACGGTTCTCTGTAATCTGTGGGCTGGGGAGGGAGACACTGCTGGGGAGCAGCGCTGGTCGGGTGGGGTAGGCTGCGATCTACTGGAAGTGGAATATTCCGAGCTGGAAGAGTAGCCGGAACGAAGGAGAGCGGGGAACGCCGGGCCGCCTCTGAAACGCTCCTCATCTGGTAAGTCCGAAAGTCCCGGAAAAGGCGCAAGAGCGTTAATGGGTCGGATGGCTCCAGGTCAGCCTGGTGGATTCTCTCTCTGCTGTATTTGCACCAGCTAACTCTTGTTGAGCCTCTGGGAGGAAATAATAGACCACGTATTGATTTTGAAATCTGGAAGAAGCTAAAAAGTGAGCGTTGACTCCTATTTCAATGCGATCACTTTGCAATTTGGAGCTTTGTCCAAAAAGCCAGAGCACCCCCCTGACTGTGCTCTGCGCTCATTATTTCGTGCCGCTCTTTCCGTCTCGAGCTAATGTCCATCCGGTGATTGCTGTTGATCTGCATTATTGGAGGTCACCGGAGCAGATCTTTCCCCGGGGCAGGGGGCTGGATGGCTTAGAACAAGAGCAAGACCCCTCCTCTCTGCTCCGAGCTTTCGGAAGCAGTTCAGTTTGGCTGGAGTCTTAGTAGTCGTCCCTGTTGCGTTCTCAGTGAGAGATATTATGAAATGCTGCTGCTGTGTCTAGTTTGTATTTTTTTTCTTGACCTGCTTTACTAAATAATGGCTTGTGGCGCGGTGACCATAATCCGCCCTGGAGCCTCTTGTCTTCACGCACCTCGGCATTTGGGGCAGCTTCAGATTCAGATGCTGATTGCCCTCTCCTCCTCTTTTGTAGAAAAAGCTTGGGATTGCCGCCGCCGCTGCAGAGTCCCAGCCAGGCAAGCACCGCTCCGTTTCTTCTGAACGCCAGTCACCTGCCGGGGGACACGCAGCGTCTCTGGAGGATCCGGTTTTTCAGTGGCGGGAGAGGAGCGCCGTCATTGTAACCGTTTCAATGAAGCAGCTCAAGTTCTCATGCCACTGCCAGCTTTTCTGGAAGCCGTTCTCCAGGAGGGAAGTGCGCACTTGAACCCCAGACATGGTGGTCCATCCGGCGGGGATTTAAGTCCAGGCGCTCTTCCACCATGACCAGCCTGAAGCGGTCGCAGACGGAAAGGCCCGTGGCCAGCGAGCGGGCCTCAGGGGTGGGCGCAGATGGAGCTCCCAAAGTCCACACAGACGACTTCTACATGCGGCGCTTCAGGTCCCAGAACGGCAGCTTAGGATCCTCCGTCATGGCGCCCGTTGGGCCCCCTCGCAGTGAAGGCCCTCACCACATCACCTCCACCCCCGGAGTCCCAAAGATGGGGGTTAGGGCGAGGATCGCAGATTGGCCCCCCAGGAAGGACAACGTGAAAGAAGCCAGCCGTTCGAGCCAGGACATGGAAACCTCCAGTTGCCTTGAGAGCATGTCCTCCACAAGCAGCCCTGTGAGTCAGGGAAGCTCAGTGAGCCTCAATTCCAATGACTCAGCCATGCTCAGAAGCATCCAGAACACGCTCGGCAGCAAGGCGCGGCCGGCGGAGAGCATGGACTCCCGGTTCCTCATGCCCGAAGCCTACCCCAGCTCCCCGCGGAAAGCCCTGCGCAGGATCCGGCAGCGGAGCAACAGCGACATCACCATCAGCGAGCTTGACGTGGACAGCTTTGATGAGTGCGTCTCCCCCACCTACAAGACGGGGCCGTCCCTGCACAGGGAGTATGGCAGCACCTCCTCCATCGACAAGCAGGGGACGTCCGGGGAAAGCTTCTTCGACTTGTTCAAGGGCTACAAGGATGACAAATCCGACCGAGGTCCAACCCCGACCAAGCTCAGTGACTTCCTCATCGCCGGGGGGAGCAAGGGGTCCGGCTTCTCCCTGGATGTTATCGATGGGCCCATCTCCCAGAGGGACAACCTCAGGCTCTTTAAGGAACGGGAGAAGCCCCTGAAGCGGCGTTCCAAGTCGGAAACCGGGGACTCGTCCATTTTCCGTAAACTGCGCAATGCCAAAGGGGAGGAGCTCGGGAAGTCATCGGACCTGGATGACAACCGCTCCGAAGACTTGGTCAGGCCCTGGACATGCCCAAAGTGCTTTGCCCACTACGATGTCCAGAGTATATTATTTGACCTGAACGAGGCCATCATGAACAGGCACAATGTCATTAAGAGGAGAAACACCACCACGGGCGCCTCGGCCGCCGCCGTGGCCTCCCTGGTCTCGGGCCCTTTGTCCCACTCGGCCAGCTTCAGCTCCCCCATGGGCAGCACAGAGGACCTGAATTCCAAAGGCAGCCTCGGGATGGACCAGGGCGACGATAAGAGCAACGAACTGGTCATGAGCTGCCCCTACTTCCGCAATGAGATTGGTGGGGAAGGGGAAAGGAAGATCAGCCTGTCGAAGTCAAGCTCTGGTTCTTTCAGTGGGTGTGAAAGTGCCTCCTTCGAGTCGACCCTCAGCTCCCATTGCACCAATGCCGGCGTGGCGGTCCTTGAAGTCCCCAAGGAGAGCCTGGTATTGCACCTGGACAGAGTGAAAAGGTACATCGTGGAGCATGTGGATCTCGGTGCATACTATTATAGGAAATTCTTCTATCAGAAGGGTGAGTGCACAGCTCCTTACTGTTAACTGTTCTTTGAAGTCGTCTGAGGGTTTTGGCAGGACGAGACCTAAGACTCGCCTGACTGTCAGATCTTTCTCCAGGGCAACATTGTTAAACAGCTCGTTGCTCAGTTCCTCTTCCTCTTTGGCATTTTGAGGATCACATCTCCCTCTCGGGTACTAAAAAATGTCTTCAGTACTGAATGCTAGTGAACTTAAAAAAAAATCGGATTGAGCCAGATTAGACTGTTGTCTGAGAGACCTGTGACAACTTTAAGGATAAATGGCTTTATGGAGTTATTTGCAAATATCAAGCTGAAGATATTTTAAATTGAGCTTTAAAAAAATTAATTGGTTTATTAAACTCATTTTATTGGGGGCTTGTACAACTCTTATCACCATCCATCCATCCATCCATCCATCCATCCATCCATCCATCCATCCACATCCATTGTGTCAAGCACATTTGTACATTTGTTGCCATCATCATTCTCAAAACGTTTTTTTTCTACTAGAGCCCTATCAGCTTCTCATATTTTTCCCTCCCTTCTCCCACCCTCCCTCCCTCATGAACCCCTGATAATTTATAAATTATTATTTTTTGAGCTTTTTTTTAAAGGATTGTAAAAACTGCTCATTTCTATTATTCACCTATGTACCACATTTACAGTCAGTACAGGACAATTCCTCTTTTGCGTCACAATTTTCCTCAGTGATTTATAATACATCAGGGAACTATAATGCATTCCAATCCAGTTCACAGGAAAGTTTGTGAAAATTAATTTACATGATTTGACAAAGTCACCAAGAGAGTGAATTCCGAGCCAGGAATCCAGTATGGGTCTCCCCCGCTAGTTGAGTGGAAAGGCCCTGAGGAGGTGGGCTCTCTCATTGTTGGTGAAGGCCTTCTTTTGGCCTGGAGAGGGATGGGGACAGACATTTTGTTGAGATCGTATTTGATAATACAGTTTTACCTCATAATTTTTAGAAAGACCCTGTCAGCTTATTTAAGAAGTAGCACACGTGTACTGGTAAGCACTCTAATAGTGTGCGTTTGTTTGTTTGTTTGTTTGTTTGTTTGTTTGTTTTGAAGATGACTGATCAGGGCATGGGAATAGATCATTCAGGCTCTCAAGCCGAAAAGCAGGATGATTACTAATACCAGACATGCTTGCGGAGGCCATACACACCTGTGGTCCCCTGGCTAGACCAGTCATCCCCGCAGCGAGGCGCACGCTGACCATGCTGAGGGGGCTCCCTGTCTGCCAGCTGCTCACGCGGGCCTTGAGGTCTCCCCTCCCTCGGAGATTTCCCCTCCCTCGGAGATTTGGGACCTGACTTAGGTAGCTTCTGGGTGAACTATCCTGTTAGCGCTCATTATAACTTCTGACATCGCTCACTTTAAGATCAAACTCTCCTTTAGTAAACGGTGAGCCCCCCCATGAGAATTTAACGACCCAAGGAATCTTGTCTTGTTCATAGTTACCCGTGAGTGACCCCCTTGTCTAAACGTCAGTGGCACAGGTCCGAGGATCAGTGATCAAACTGCCTGTTTCATCTCTCAGCAGCCGGTATTTTCTGACCAGAATTTTCTGGGGTTTGTGTTTACACTGCCCTTTGGATATGGGGCTCCCCCCGGGCCATGGACGGCCTTTGGTGGCAGATGACGCTCTGTTGTCAGGGGTTGCCTGTGCTCTATGGAATGTTTAGCAGCAGCCCTTCCCCAGTTTTGACAACCAGAAATGCCCCTAGACGCTGCCAGATGCCTTTGAGGTGGTAACATTACCCCTTGGCCGAGAACTAGTGCTTTGCTGTACATGGGAGACTTTTCTACGGGTGTGTCTTGAGCTGTCTATAGGTTGAGAGGCTCGTGACTCAAACTGAAGAGAGAGCATGCTACTTTATAACTATTTAGCAGGCCAGGGTATACAGTACTTTCATCCTATTAAGGCGACATAATAATAATGCCAGTAAACATTTTTGAGTACTTACTAAGTACCCGATACTGTGCTAAAAGCATTTGACATGACATGCATTTTCTCATACCACCTTCTCCATGCTTACTGAGGTAGGTGCTACTCTTAACCTTCACTTTTCAGACGAGATAAGCTGTTCACAGAGCTGGTAAACGGGCTCCAGGATTCTCCCTACCTTTGCTCTCTGCACAGAAGCTTCCTTCACTCTTACTCCCCGGGCTGTGCTTTCTGCTGCATTAGACTTAAGGGAAAGGACTTGATCTTTGGTTGCTAGCTTAAATATGCTAGAAATTTGTTTATCTTTCCACAGTATGCAATGAAAATCTGAACAGGCATTCCACAGTGATTCTGCCTCGATCATAAAACCTCTTAAAATTAAAGCCTTTGATCCAAAGTGGTTTCTTATTTGAAACATGGAAAAAACACTCCTACCCAACATGATTGGACAAAATTAATTGAATAACTCACCTAAAACAAGCAGTCATTAAAAATAAATTCTAAAGATTTCATTTTCACTTAAATATATAAATATAAAAGCCCGTTTACTAAACTGAGGCCCAGGGTATTTATTTCAGAGTGATCACCGTTTTGAATTCTGTGTTGTGGTGAATGTGAACCACAAAAGCACAAACATAGACACCAGCAGAGCGATCTGAGTACAGATTCTTCTATTTTATGGACTTTCTTCTACCATTTTAAGTTATTTTGCCTACATTGAGGGAAACAGCCTTCTTTTTTTTTTAACAGCCTTCTTGTTAGTCACTTTTCATTATTCTTTCCAACGTCTTCAACCTAATTTTCATAGAATTGTCACATATTTTATTTCACATTTCACTAGCTTCCATAATATTTAATTAAGCTTTATAATAACAAGACAGCCGGCATAAACAGGTGTGGCATGAAACAGTTGACTCTCTGTCAGCATAGCGTCTAGCGGGTGGAAATAGGGATTCTGCGTGCCTGAGAGTCCCTCAGCTAGCCCAGAACACTCCGTGTGCACTGCCCGTGCTGCGCCATGGCTTCCGCATGCACTGAAGACAGTAGGTGTTCTAGAAAGTTGAATGGATGAAAGCCAGTTACAGACTGTACTTCCTGAAGTGATTTATTTGGGGCTGAACAAAGTGGTAGATTTGGCGGGTGATAAATCATTTAAAGTGTAAATCAAGTCCCTCCCCAAAATATAACTATGTTGAGATGTTTTCAAGATCTATACTTTTTAAGAAATCATAATCTAAAACATAATTGAACAGCTCGTTCTGCCTTTTCATATACTTCTTCATATACACTTTCACTTGGCTGAAGAGAATGCCTAGTTCATTTTCCTAATCAGAACCTTAACCGCAGTCATCCTGTTGAAGGGACGGACGTGTTCGAATCAGCCATCTTCTAGCACCATTTAGAGTATACAAACTTGAATTCATGCGTACTTGGGAAGATTACCTCTCACTCTGGTATAGTCTCTGGTTTTTTTTGCTAGGTACCCTTCCAATTTTGTTCTGTTAAGTGAACATCATTAAAGTAGGAGTTTGAGTAGATTATTTTATGCTACATTTAGAAAGTCAGGGCACATTATTCAACTGTTTTTCTGATGAAAATCTGTGCTAATTTTGTTGATGCATTCTTGATTTTTATCCTCCTTTTTTTAGTTTGTTAATAATTATAACATCATTAGACTTGAGAAGAGTCTACAAGATGCCTTGTGATTGATAGTTCTTTAAGGATAATAGTCTTTTTTAAAAAAATATTTTATTGTAGATTTGTACAACACTTTTTTTTTCTTAGAAAAGTTATGTAAATTGCCTGGATATTTTTTTAATTAAATAATTTATTTATTTTTAAAATCATTTTATTGGGGGCTCATACATCTATTACCACAATCCATACAGCTATCTCTTGTGGCAAGCACATTTGTTGCCATCATCATTTTCAAAACACTTTCTTTCTACTTCTGTTTACCTTCCCCAGGGAGGGGGTTATATGTAGAGCATTGTGATAAGGTCCCCCCCACCCCCCCATCTTACCCTTACCCTTCTGGTATCACTGCTCTCATTGGCCCTGAGGGGTTCATCTGTTCTGGATTCCCTGTGTTTCCAGCTCTTATCTGTACCAGTGTACATGCTGTGGTCTAGCGGATGTGTAAGGTAGAATTGGGATCATGATAATGGGAGGGGGGGGGAAGCATTAAAGAAGTGAAGGAAAGTTGGATGTTTTGTCAGTGCTATACTGTACCCTGACTGACTTATCTCCTCCCCGCAACCCTTCTATAAGGGGATGATGTCCAGTTGCCTACAGAGGGCTCTGGGTCCCCACTCCACATTCCCGCTCATTCCCAGTGATAAGATTTTTTGTTCTTTGACTCCTGATACCTGAAGGGATGATAGTCTTACGTTTAGGTTTTTGTTGTGAGCAGCTGTTTTACAGGTAAGTGTTGAACTCCCATGTCAGTGAGTCTTTATTATGCATTACTGAACTGTTAAGGCATCGCATGCCCTTTAAATTTAAGTTAATTTCTTGCAAAATTGAAAGTGAAAGACTTTATGCATGTGCACTAAGTTTTATGGACCATATTAAGATTATCTAAACCACACAGAAGTCATTTGAAGATTATTTCTCTAATTATGGCCCTTTGCATGTATACATACATATCTATATGCAAGATGATTGAATGTCTCTTCTGTACCTTTAATTGGGAAGTTAAGTAGGTTAGCTGTGTGGAAATGAGTGTTGCTTTTATTCTCCACAATACAGAAATGGATTCAGATGGTTTTCTGTTCTGCTCTTACATTTATTTTTAGGCTAGCCAGTATAAGAATAATATACACGTTTTAATTTTCCATACGACATCTTCTGAGCCAAGAATGAGAAGCCCTAACTCTCCATGGCAACAAGCAGAGCTTTCACCTGCGTGGTATATCGGAGCCCGAGAGGCCCAGTGGTTACGAGCTGGGCTGCTCAGTCCAGGGCCAGCAGTTTGAAACCACCAGCTGCTTCTCAGAGAACGACGGCGCTTTTTTCTCCCGTGAAG